GTGGGAGTTGGGCAGCCCGGTGCGCTGGCAGAAGCCTATGCAGTGGCAGCCTCGCTCGGAGGCAACTCGTCGTATATAGACATATATGGTTGCAAAGGTCCAAGCTTATAGCAGTTTGCCACGTCAAAGGATTATACAAGCATTGTTTCTGCGGCCCCTGTGTTTTGCAGGGCCTGCAGCAAGATAGAAACTTTTGCATGTTCAAGGACTTGTGTTGTCAGAATGGAAAGTGACAATGGGTTCTTATTTGAGTTGACCTGTCTGCAGGTACATGCGTGTGCACTTCCTTGACTGCTTGCGTGCAAATATATACCAGGAAAGTTGCATTGGACCCTTTGAACGTGCATTGATGCTTGGGATTTGATTTCTGTGGAAACGGTAGTTGAATGTGTGCTCCAACTCAAGAAGCGACACCCAAGCTGCTAAATCAAAGGGCTAATCATCAAACCAAAATGTTTCTATCTTTCTGTGGGCCTTGTGTTTTACAGGGCCTGCAGCAAGATAGAAACTTCTGCATGTCCAAGGAATTGTTTTGTCCTCATGGGGCGTGACAATGGGCTCTTAATTGGACTGACCGGTGTATATGTATATATATATACAAATATATATTTCCATATATATATATATATGTATATATGTTTGTGTTTCCTTGGTCGCGTGCATGCAAGTATACAGTTCGATTGAATCATGCAAGAAAGTGGCATTGGACCCTTTGCAAGCGCATTAATTCTTGCGACTTGACTGTTGTAGAGCAGATCATGACAGAGTTGAATATGTGCTCCAACGCGCGCGAGAAGCGACACCCAAGTTGCAAATTAAAAGGGGCTAAGCATTGAACCAAAAAGTTTACATCTTTCTGCGGGCCCTGTGTTTTACAGGGCCTGCAGCAAGATAGAAACTTTTGCATGTCCAAGGAATCGCTGGGGGAGACAATGGGTGTTTAATTGAACTGACCTGTGTGTACTTATATTTATATATATATATGTATATATCTGTTTGCGTTTCCTTGGTTGCTTGCATGCAAGTATACAGTTCGGCTGCATCATGCAGGAAAGTGCGTTGATGCTTGGGATTTGACTTTTGTAGAACAGGTCATCAGTGAGTTGAATATGTGATCCAACGCAAGAAGCGACCCAAGCTGCCAAATCAAAGGGCTAAGCATTGAACCAAAAGGTTTCTATCTTTCTGCAGACCCTGTATTTTACAGGGCCTGCAGCAAGATAGAAACTTTTGCATGTCCATGGAATTGTGTTGTCATCATGAGGTGTGACAGTGGGTTCTTACTTGACTCGACATGTGTGCATATAAATGTGCATGTATATATCGGTTTGCATTTCCTTGGTTGATTGCATGCAGGTACATAGTTCGGCTGAATCATCCAGGAAAGTGCATTCACGCTTTGGACTTGGCTTTTGCAGAACAGGTCATCAGTGAGTTGAATATGTCACCCAACGCAAGAAGCAACACCCAAGCTGCCAAATCAAAGGGCTGAGCATTGAACCAAAAAGTTTCTATCTTTCTGCGGGCCCTGTATTTTACAGGGCCTGCAGCAAGATAGAAACTTTTGCATGTCCAAGGAATTGTGTTGTCATCATGGGGTGTGACAGTGGGTTCTTACTTGACTTGTACATACATATATACATACATACATACATGCATACATACATACATACATACATACATACATACATACATACATACATACATACATACATACATACATACATACATACATACATATATGCATACATGCATACATGCATACATGCATTACACACATATATATTATATGTATTCATACTTTCTCTCGCTCAGCCAAGATCCTCCGCGTTGGGAAGATTCTCCCGAGACCTGTCACGGAGCTGCAGGAGAAGGGCCTCCCCCTGCCCAAGAGAGTGCTCGGGAACCTTGCTGTGCTGCATCGCACCCTGGAGGCCCTAAACAGCCGGTTTAGTGTCCACATCCAAGCGCAGACGGTGTTCATGTGCGAAAAAGACGCAGAGAAGCGGGCTTTCTTGATGGATGCGCACAAGGGGGCGGTGCAACATATGTTTGAGGATGTCAATGTCTTCTCGCTTGGGGTTGGCCTTTGCGCTATCACCGGAATGGTCATCAAGGTCCCGGAGGTGGATGTTCTCATTTCCGGCCCGTCGTGCAAAAAAGGTCGTCAAGAGGGACCTCCTATCTCTTGGGCATGGCTTCGAGTTTTGTGCTGTGGATTCGCAGCACTATTTGCTGCCGCAACGCAGGAACCGGATCTGGGGGAGCAGCGACTCGACCCTCAGACTCCGTGACGTTCCGCGGTTTGAAGCCAGCATGGCTTCCACAATGCAGCAGCTGCGATCCAGCACCAGGTTCCGGCTGCAGCAATTCATGAACCCATCGCTGCCAGAGGAGATCCCACACCTGGCAAGCCATCTCAGCCAGCTGGAAGCCACCCAAAAAGCGGCAACCAAAGCACGGGTGGAAGGAGGTGACGTTTGACACACACACCTCAGAGGGTCGGCTTCCGGAGTGGTTTGGCTACGGCTGCACATGCATCCGCCCTACGCACGCGATTTACTCCCTGGGAGCGATGCGGTACCTGACCGGCAACGAGCTCCTTTTGTGCCAGGGCATATTCCCTTCTGAGTTTCCAGTTCCTGCTGCGTTCACATCGCTGACAAGCAGTCAGGCGGCAGACTTTGCTGGAAATGCCTTCAGCGCCACTGTGCTCCAGGCGAAGCTCATTGCCAGCTTTGTGCACAATGCTTCATGGCAGGTCATTGCAAACCCAGCTGCAGACGGCTCGAAGCTGGCAGCCCCTCAGGCCAGCTCCTTCTTTGCGAAAACCCCCAGCCGCAGTGGAGTTCGGCGATCAGACTCGGGGAACATCGACGGCCCCGCCAAGCGGCAGCGCAAAGAGAGCCAGGGGGAGGAGCCGGATAGCCCAGACGTCCCAAACGATAAGAAGGGACGGGGCTACAACTCGCCGCTTTGCACCATTTGGCACTGGCTTGTTTCCGTTGTTGCAATAGTGCATCAATCTGGGCTGATGATCCAGCAAAACAAGCATCCATGTAACATTGTTTGTTGCGTAGCGTTGAACCAAAAAGTTTCTATCTTTCTGCGGGCCCTGTGTTTTACAGGGTCTGCAGCAAGATAGAAACTGTTGCATGTTGAAGGGGTTTTGATGTCATCCCTCTGAATGACAATGGAGTATATATCAATTGAATATAGAGACTGTGAGCAGACACATCCATTTGCACTTCCTTGTTTGCTTGCACGCAGATATATAGTTTGATTGAGTATTGATGCTTGGGATTTAATTTCTGTGGAAACCGTAGTTGAATGTGTGCTCCAATTCGAGAGGTGATACCCAAGCTGCCAAATCAAAGGGCTAAGCGTTGAACCAAAAAGTTTCTATCTTTCTGCGGACCCCGTGTTTTACAGGGCCTGCAGCAAGATAGGAACTTTTGCATGTCCAAGAACTTGTGTTGTCAGAATGGGAAGTGACAATGGATTCTTATTTGTGTTGACCTGTTTGCAGGCACATTCGTGTGCACTTCCTTGACTGCTTGCATGCAAATACCAGGAAAGTTGCATTGGACCCTTTGCAAGTGCATTGACGCTTGGGATTTGATTTCTGTGGAAACGGTAGTTTAACCTGTGCTCCAACTCGAGAAGCGGTACCCAAGCTGCCAAATCAAAGGGCTAAGCGTTGAACCAAAAAGTTTCTATCTTTCTGCGGACCCTGTATTTTACAGGGCCTGCAGCAAGATAGAAACTTTTGCATGTCCAAGAACTTGTGTTGGCAGAATGGAAAGTGACAATGGGTTCTTATTTGAGTTGACCTGTCTGCAGGTACATGCGCGCGCACTTCCTTGACTGCTTGCGTGCAAATACCAGGAAAGTTGCATACGACCCTTTGAAAGTGCATTGATGCTGGGGATTTGATTTCTGTGGGAACGGTATATAGTTGAATGTGTGCTCCAATTCGAGAGGTGATACCCAAGCTGCCAAATCAAAGGGCTAATCATCAAACCAAAAAGTTTCTATCTGTCCGTGGACCCTGTATTTTACAGGGCCTGCAGCGAGATAGAAACTTTTGCGTGTCCAAAGAATTGTGTTGCCAATAATGTTGGGAATGGAAGTAATTCGCCCGTGCTTATCTCTATATATATATACACTTCTGCACATAGCTTGAGACATGTGTATGTACACAATTACGCATATTTGTGTACAGCTGCACGAGGAAAGGAGATGTCCTCTCAATCCGGAAGAAGATGGACATTTTGTTGCATTATGACAAGCTGGTGCAGGAGGGCACCAAGAAGCCGAACAAGGTCATGATGGAGCTGAAGTCGCAGGGGAAATTCCCGGGCTACTTCAAAGGGTGCTGCTCTGTTCCCTGCCCTGTGAGTTCTATGTTTTGATTTGTTGCATGCAGTACGTAGAAACGTTGCTGTTTCAGGTTGAGTTGAGCGTGGCAATTTGAGGCAACCAAGTGGCCTGCTTCCCGGATAAAGTTCAATTGGGACGCGCTCATTAAGTTGTGCCCACGAGTCGCGGAGCGAGTCGAGCCTGTGAAGCAATGGTACTCGCAAATATTCGCTTGTGTATATATATATATATATGTATATGTATATATATATATATATAAATATATCAACATAAATGTATATATATATATATGTTATATGTGTATATATTGTGGTATATATATATATATGTTATATGTGTATATATTGTGGATGGTCAAAATCCTGCACCAGTTGAGTTAGACACATCCAATTCTTCGCAGATGCGCCACCACGAGCTAGTGCGGTTATTGCCCATCCACAGAATGTTTCCGGCAGCGCGCGCAGAAACCATTGTTGATTTGCTGTTGTAAACATACATATATATATACATATACATATATATATATACGTATATATATACATATATGTATATGTTGAAGCTTGTTCGCGGGTTGTCTCAATCCGTCTTTGGATAGCGGGTGGCCAAACATGCTTCAGGATGAAGTGCCCAACTGGCTTCGGTCCTGTATTGGGCTCGAGCGCAAGAGCAAGGTCCAGGAGAGCGCCATCCCTGACGAACTTCAGGAGATCGCAGTCAATCTGCTGCTGCAGCAGCAGCGCGCAGGTGCCGAGATCTCCACAGCAGCCGTGGAGTCCTTGTTGTCAGAGCTGGTTGAGCTCTACAACAAGGAGGTGTCGAGGGTGCACGAAAACTTTGACGAGCAGCTTCTGCAGGAGGTGGACCAGCTGCAGGGTGTGACGGATATCCAGGCCTTCATGGACGAACGGCGGAAGCAAAGTGGGCTCCCCGAGGCAGTTCTCTTCCGACCCTCCCAACGAGCCCTCAATCAGATCGCGCTGGCATTCAACAAGAAGTATGGCTTCAGCTTGCAAAGCAACACCAAGCCCATGATGCACCTTCCGCGGGGACACCCGGCCATCCAGGAGGTGATACAGCATGTGCACTATCTCGTGAAAGAAAAGAAGGTGCATCCTCGCTTGATCTTGAATTTTGATCAAGTGTGGACAACCCTGTATGAGCCCATCCGCAAGGTGCTGAAGAAGGACGTGGCCACGCCCACTGGCAAGGACCCTCTGGCTGCAATGCCGCAGCGCCAACAGGTCCGTGCAAGGGTGCAGGAATACATGGGGCAGGCGGTGCTGCTGCCCAAGTCGGAGCGGTCCAAGGTGTGGCAAGCAAAGCTGGCCGACCTGACGGGCGCGTCCTCCCCGCAACTGGCGCAGGCTTGGAGGAGCTGGGTGGAATTGACATGGGCTGGCGTTGAGGGCGTGTAGATAAACATGTGTTATATAGTGTGTACATATATATATATAGAGATAGCGTGAGGAGTACATATATACATATATACACCTTCGTTTTGTCATGTTTTTGGTGCGGCAGAGAGAGAGAGAGATAGCATGTGTATATATATATATATAAGTATGCATGCATACATGGGCAATGCTGGACGCCGATGCTACTGAGTAGAAGGAAAAGTTTCTATCTTTCTGCAGGCCATGATTTTTACCAGTCCCGCAAAAAGATAGACACTTTTGTTTGGTCTCGGTTGTCATGTTGTGTGGCATTATGCTTCAAGCTCATGATTTGCTAACATAATTCAGGCATACAGTTGGTGCAAAAGTTTCTATCTTTCCGCAGGCCATGAGTTTTACCAGTCCTGCATAAAGATAGAAACTTTTGTTTGGTCTCGGATGTCATGTTGTGTGGCAACATGCTTCAAGCTCGTGATTTCCTAACATTATCAAGGCATACAGTTGGTGTAGTTGTTCCTTGCCGTGCCACTTGCAGTGATACATGTCGACCAGTTAAGGCTTACGGGATGCTACTGCTGAGTAGAAGCAAATGTTTCTATCTTTCCGCAGGCCATGAGTTTTACCAGTCCTGCATAAAGATAGAAACTTTTGCTTGGTCTTTGCTTCTACCTCTAAATAGATATGTGGATATTGCGTACATACATTATATATAAGTAACAATCTTCAGGACACCCCGGACAACAACTACTATCAGTTGGTCGGATGGCACTATGGGGTGTGCCTTTACGACCGTTGCGGAGGGCACAATGTCCCAGAAAGTCATGGACGAGCTGAACGGTGAGGTTGCCGGAATGATGCACATTGAAAGCACGAACCGGGACTCGCACATGTGGGTGGGAGAAACGTGCGTGCGCTTTTTCGATCACCTTTCGCAAGAGCTGCGCCGCAAGCGGCAGAGCTTGGGGTTGCAGGCAAGCGACCGAGCCCTGGTCATTTGCGACAAGTGCAGCTCGCACCAGAGCTCAGTCTTCCAGGCAATGCGTGTTCAATGGGCCAAGGAGAACAATGTGCAGCTGCTTGGAGCTGACTCCTTGGCGGCAGGTGGATTTGGTGCCGTGGCAGGCCCGAACGACCAATGGCATGGGCATTTCCACATGCTCCGGGCCAGCCACCTCCGCCACAGCCTGGGGCTGAACGCGACTGCCCGCTGGCAAGAGGCCGTCGGAGCCCAACACTTCGGCAGTGAAGGGGTCCCGGTGGTCACATGCCCAATTCGGCAGTCCATCCTGTCAGACTGCTGGGCGCTCCAGCAGATCGCGGAAAAGGAAGGCGGCAAGACCCTTCTGCGGGCCTGGCTCCGAACTGGCTACATCAGTGAAGAGCAAGCGGCCGAGTGGAACTTTGGCGGCGACCTGCTTAAGCTCAAGGAGGCCATGCGAACCCAAAAAGGCTCCTACCAGAAGCTTCTTCGCCTCCAGCACGCGCCTGTTTTGGATTTCGCCAAGTACAACACCACATGGCGGGCAGCAAAAGGGCTGCAGTCCGGGGAAAGCTTCCACGCTTGGTTCGCCATCTTGGATGAGGTGGAGCAGCAGCTTCCGTCCTTCATGAACACTGGGATTGAGCTGGCAATCACCATGTGGATGGCGACTAGGCGGGCTTGGGACAAGCTGATTGCCGAGCGTGCGTCCAAGGGGAAGCCGCTCACCCCCGGGCAGCTGGCGAAGTACAACGCATGGCGGGCAGACCCCATGCGCCATGTTGTCTTCGACGTCAGGAAAAAAACTGATGTCCCAAAGCCCAGCACGCTGTCGACAGCTGCCCTCACGGAGTGCGTGGTGGCCTCTTTGAGGATGTCCCCGGACCCCAACACGCTAGCTATCAAGTTTGGGAAGCAAGACAGCTTTTCCAAGCTGGTGGTGCGGCAAATGACCGCAAAGGCTCCAGCGGCAAGCATCCTCGTGCCCGAGGAAGTGACGGGGGGCACACTGCCTGAGGCACCAGCGGCAGGCGGAGCGGAGCACGATGATGATCTCGAGAGCGTCATCTCTGAGACTGACTTCAAGGGCCTCACTGCCGAGGCCATGGACGAGGAGAATGCCAAGTGGCAGGAGGAGGCTGGTGGTGGGGAAAAGGGCCGTTCCTCTAACCATGTTTCTTCCTGGCGGGACCCTACAGGCGTGTCACGCGGAGGCCGAAGGCGAAGCCGAAATGGCTGCCTTGGACCCGGACGAGTGAGCGCTGCTTGCGCGAGGCTATGTGCAGATTTATGTATACATCTGGATATATATATATATATACATTCACATATATAAATAAATATATATATATATACACGTATTGTTCAAACACATGCGTTTGTGACGGCACACTGATCTATCTACAGTTGCTGTGCACCTTGAGACACGCCAAATTCACTGCTTTCACTAATCGCTGGCGCCGTGCTCGGTCTTGCAGGGGCCTTGCAATTCCATGGGGATAGCAGGCGGCAACGTCACCGGGGCACAAAAGCAAGCGCCCGCGCTGCGCCGTAGCAAGACACTTTTGCATGTCCAAGAAACTGTGTTGCCATCGTAGGGAACAAGCTGCCAAACCAAAGGGGTAAGCATTGAACTAACAAGTTTCTATCTTTCTGCGGACCCTGAATTTTACAGGGCCTGCAGCAAGATAGAAACTTTTGCATGACCAAGCATGCGCAGTGGCACGCTGTGACAGGAAGATTGTAACATTTGCAGTCGTTTGCTATGTATATATATATATATAAATCCCTTCCTCAGCTTTCTTCTTCTACTGGAAATATGCATATTGTGTAGTTACAGGTGACAGTGTTATTTAGTTGTGGCCTGAGGCAGTGACCGCCTCAATGCGGAGACTCTGATGAAGGCTGGCTGGTTGCAAGCTGCACGATCATACTTCACAATATAAATAATATATATATATACATATATATAGTAGGTGTACAAATATAATTGTGCTTATGAGGTGTTGCAAAAGTTTCTATCTTTCCGCAAAGCCTGGAAAACACAGGATTTGTACGTTCAGCCACATGTGTGGTAACACACACACACTGCCAACCACAATATATATATATATATACATATATATATATACATATACATATATATATATATGTGTGTTGCCTGATATTCTGCGCTGGCAATACTGAATTAAGTACTGACATTATGTCACTTGCAATTCCAGGGAAGAATCACAGGTTGCTATCCTGTTGCAAACCATGCACATAGATATATATACATATATATATATATATACATATATACATATATATATATATGCGCCAGGATGGACTTGAACCACCATCTCTACTGCGGCTAGCAGCCTGACAGGCGGCTTCTAAAACCGTCGGGCAGGATGCTAGCCGTAGGGTAATCCCTTGCCCATTAGACACTGGCACTGTTGCCAACCCACAATCTAGTATTGCTTGTTGCCAGTTTTGTATCTCTGTACTGCAGCACTAAGTTAGTGTTCCCGAGCAGAAAAATGAGCCATTGACCCAGGAGGTGTTGCAAAAGTTTCTATCTTGGTGCAGACCCTGTAAAATACAGGCCCGGCAGAAAGATAGAAACTGTTGAATGGACTTTCAAGGCTAATGACAATGAAACACAACACACAATTCTTGGGACACGCAAACGCTTCTAGAAACTAAATTCCTTCGACACGCAAAAGTTTCTGTCTTGTTGCAGACCCTGTAAAACACAGGGCCCGCAGAAAGATAGAAACTTTTGACTGGGCATTCAATGAAAACGGCAATGTCAGTACTCAGTTTAGCATTGCCAAATGCCACATTTGGAATTGACGGCGCTCAATTCAGGTTTGCCAGTGTTGCTAGTGCTCATATATATGTAGAATCGCAAGTAGTAAATTGAGTACTGCCTTTGGAATTGCCAGTGCTTAATTTTAGTTTTGCCAGTACTAAATGTAGTATTGCCAGTACTAAATTTAGTATTGCCAGTATTTAGTTTTAATTGCCAGTACTAAATGTAGTATTGCCAGTACTGAATGTAGTATTGCCAGTACGATTTTTTGGCGAGGAATTGAATTGGTTAAACTCCTTACTAAAAACATGCATTTTGACATGGGGTAGCTCTGCAAGTCCACAATCACCCCCTCAGTAGACGTCTGGGTCCCGCACAAGAGTAGAACAGTTTCGGACAGAGTGCCGTTTGCAGTTCCAGGGAAGGATCCAAAAAGTTTCTATCTTTGTGCAAGCCCTGTGTTTTTCAGGCCTTGCGGAAAGATAGAAACTTTTGCTACGGCCCATGGCCCAGAAAAGTCAAAGTGCTTGAAAGTACCAAATTGAGGATTGCCAGTACTAAATTTAGTATTGCCAGTACTAAATTTAATATTGCCAGTACCTAATTGTGTGTCCCCTTAGTGTTGCAAGTACTAAATTTAGTACTACCAGCACTGAATCCAGTATTGAGTCGCAAATGTGGTAGTATATAATCAAATTGGTATTGTCAGTACTAAAAGTACTTTCAATTTGTATTGCCGGCACTTCATTTTGTATGGCAAATGCACCATTTAGTGCTAGGTTTAGCCTTCCGTACATATTATGATCCATTCGGCCATGAGGTGTTGCAAGAGTTTCTATCTTGCTGCAGACCCTGTAAAATACAGGGTTTGCAACAAGATAGAAACTTTTGACTGGGCGTTCAATCAAAACGGCAATGTCAGTATTCAGTTTAGCATTGCCAAATGCCACATTTTGAACTTAGTCTTGCTAGTGCTTATGCAATTTAGTATTGCCAGTAGTAAATTTAGTACTGCCAATTTGCAATTTGGAATTGCCAGTGCTTAATTTTAGTTTTGCCAGTACTAAATGTAGTATTGCCAGTACTAAATGTAGTATTGCCAGTACTGAATGTAGTATATATTGCCAGTACGATTTTTGGGCGAGGAATTGAATTGGTTAAACTCCTTACTAAAAAAATGCATTTTGACATGAT